CGTCGTGACATCTTGCTGGATATCTTCCACCCAAGGACTGGCTGATCCTGTTTAGCTTATTTGAGCTGACAGAGCCACAGCCAAGCAATTGGCACCCCCGCAGCCGCTTGAATCACATCCCATCCAGCTCCGCCTGCCCTCCATTCCCCGTGTCCTTTATTTCACATGGTACTTAGACCGTCTGTCTCTTTCCCACCCTCCCATCCTCCATTTCCGACACCGCACAGATGTTTGTGGTCACAGCAGGCTCACGCATAACCCATTTGTTGTTCCGTAGATGGTTGAATCTTGCTGGGAAGGAAAGCGCGAGCCAGATCCCCGTATCTACAAGTTGTGCTTGGAGCGCTTGGGTGTTCAGGCCCGGGAATCCATCTTCCTCAACAACAGCAGCCAGAACCTAAAAGCAGCAGCCCAGCTTGGCATGAAAACGGTGAAGGTACAAAGCAATGCAGCCAGGGCAGGCTTTGGGTGTGCTTTCCAAGTCCAGAAGCTGTGTCTGACTTGAATGGCGCGGGATTTTCAATGGCAGTGGCAGACTCGTGTTGCCAAGCCTTTTGTTTCAGCCCGTCCTTATTCCTACAGGACGAGGCGGGGTTAGGGGGGGGGATTTCCGGCACAATACAGCCTGCCCGGGTTCACTTGGAGAAGTCGCTTCTGCTTTACGGACCTCGGTGCCCTATTAGAGAAACAGCCCTAAGCGTATGGTTGAGACAACCACATCCATCTGATGTCAGAAAACAAGATGTACTTAATAGATTTCTAGAAGCTCTGAGGCTTCAGGAGTCTGTCAGCTGAGGACTGACTGGTTAACCCTCAGGCTTCGGAGATAGTGAGCACAGGGGTTTTACTTTGGGGAGGGGGAAGGACAAGCATGGGGCCGGTGGGAAGGGTGAAATCTGCTCCCCTGGACTGCACACGGGGAATTCCAGCTCTTAGCCCAGCCCATGCTCGCAGTCACAGGTACATCTCCGGGACGGAGACCAAGGCGGGAGGCTCAGCGAGTTTTGATAACGGTGCTCTGTGCTGGCAGGGACTGACCTGTGAATTCCTGTGTGTCATACTCGGTCCGTGCCGTTGGACTCGCAGATAAATGCATCGCAAGTGTGCAGAGCTCTTTCTTTCCCCGGCAATTTTGTCTTCTAACTATCAATCAGTGTTTCTCCCTCCCTCCTGCTTTCAGGTTGATGATCCAGAAGCAGCATTCAAAGAGCTGGAAACCTATCTGGGTTTTCCTTTGCAAGGGTTTGTTCCATATACTCGTTCAGTGAGACCAAGCATGGAAATCCCAAGAGATCATCTGCAAAAGTACCTTGAAACTGTCCTCGGTGACCACGCAACAGGTATTGCAGTGCTTTTTGCTCTTCAGCCTGAAAGGTTGCATGTTCTGGAGCCATTGGCTCTTTCCATCATTCGACAGATGGATTGAAAAATAAGATTAATGGAAGGCTCCTAATCTCCAAGCAGGCAGTGCAGCCATTCAGGTTTCAGTGATCCGTCACTGTTTCCCAGAAATGGGAAGTAACATTTTAGGACTTCCTCATTAGGGAGGGGCTGAGCACAAGTTGCCAAAGAGATGCCAGGAATATTCCTGGCCTGTGAGCCATCTACGAGTGATTGCCGTGCTCCCCGGGGACTGGGCACCCAGTAGCAAAGCGTAGGTTCCCGATTGCTGCAAGGGAGATCTCAGACCCAGGCACAGGAAGGGGAAGTAAAAACTGGAGGAGCGGTGAGAAATAATCCCCACTCATGCTCCTGCCTGCTGACCCTCTGCTCTCAACCCTTCAGGCCCACCGGTGTCATGGCAGTTTGGCCACGGACGGTCTACCTGGACCTACTCCGTCAAGTTTGGAGATCGCTTGCTGGTGCTGAAGAAGAAGCCCCCTGAGAGCCTGCGTCCCTTGGGCTCTGCTGTCAGGAGGGAATACAGGTGAGAAGGAGCTGTGCTCCTCACGCCTGCTGACCTGGCAAGGCTCTCGTAGGAGGTCCCAGACAACACCATCCTAGGGATGGTGCTCTATTCCAGCCTTGGCTTTTCTGTTCCACATCGCTCACGCAGTTCACACGCAGTTCACACGCCTGCCTCCCACCTCGTCCTCCCCTGCGTTTTCCACAGCTCCGTATCCGAGCCTGGGATCTGTCCGTTCGCTACAGCTAGCGTGAGCAGTCCGGGATGGGGAGACAAGGCTGCGCGACCGCCCGGCAGCTGGCGGTGAGCACGCGGTGAGGACCCTGTGCCTGTAAAAACCGCCCTCCCCACTCCCGCACTGCCAGTCCTTCCAGTCCATGGCTCTCCCAGCTCAGTCGGGAGATGCAGGATCTCCCTGTCGCGTCCGGCACCGTGGGTGGGAGACAGGCTGCAGCACGGCACTGCGGCTGAGCGGTGAGGAGCCTCGCGAAGGGCCAGCCCCACGCTGGAGGGGCCCTGCTGCAGAGCGGTTTGCTGTGCCAGAGATCTCTGCCTCAGCAGCAGGACGCTTGTGGGGGAGCAGCTGCGATCGCCCCTTGGTTTTCAGAGCGCGTTGTTCTCGAAGCTCAGGGCCGTACAAAGATTTTGGTGTGCTTCTTTCCCCTCCCCCCAGCCATGCTATTTTAGCGTGTTTAAAACTGAGCAGAGGACTCTTTTTTTCATATTGCGTGTCTGCCTAGCAACAATGCAGTTCTAATATCGATTCCCTAATGCCTTTCTGTGCTGACGTGGCTCTCTGGCTCGCCCTGGCAGGGTACTGAAGGCGCTCTCTGAGGCTGGCGTTCCTGTTCCCCTGTCCACTGCGAGGACAGAAGGTAATCTTGTCCCTCAGCTTTCACTCTATGCTTGACAGCTTCAGCCAGATTCCCCCACAGACGAGGAGGGGAGAGAAGGCGCCAGACCTCACAAAGTGTGCTGATCTAATTAGCGTGTGCCTGGTCTCTAGAGGCTAGAGGAGCCTCTAGAAGTTCAAAGGACAGTAACACTTTTATTTGACTTGGTTTAGGTGTGTCCTATTTTAGTCATTAATCAAAATGCTGTTTTCCTTTGAAAAGCTGCTGTGAAACAATGTTGTAGGGCTTCCTCCGTATTCTCAGGTTTCCAGTAAGGAGGCGATTTTTCTAACTGCTAGACCTCAGACTTGCCCCAGGGTCTACAGCCGTGGTAGCAGCCAGTCTGCGACCAGGCCACCCTGTCTACCCCGCAGTCAGCGCAGCTACGCGCCGATCTCTGCTGGCTGCAGTAATAAAGCCTCTGCACTGCAGTTAAATGCGTGTCCGCCGTTTGCGATGTCTGTGTGCAGTCTGACAGCCCAGCTCCAGAGCTCGCTGCAGGGGAGGCAGGGAGAGGGGTTGGTGCTGTAGCCCGGCTCCACGCTCAGATCCTGGGGCTGGAGGGAACGGGGCTGATCACGCCACGGCCGTGTGCTAGGATGGCAGCCTGAGCTGGGCGTGAGGAGTGCTCATGTGCTGCTGAGGCTGCTCCTCACCTCGCCGCGCAGCTGAGGCCTGGGGGCCTGTTCAAGGTGCAGGTGAGCTCTGAGGGGTGGCAGGTAGCAGGATTCACCCGCCGGTTCCATCCTGCTTCCCCAGCACCCTTGGCACACCTTTCCACCTGATGGAGCACTGTGCTGGCCGTGTCTGCAGCGACGTCTCCCTCCCCGCACTGCAGCCTGGCCAACGGTGGGCTATTTATGCTGCCATGAGCCAGGTCCTCTCCAAGATCCACAGCGTAGACCTCAGAGCAGCCAAGCTGGAGGACCTCGGGGAGCATGGTGAGAGAAGGCTACATGTCCTCCATCACTGTTTTCTTCTCCTGTGTGTCGGCATTTCAAGGGATAAGCTCGGGTGCAGGACTTGGGCCAGGCTTGGGGCAGTTGGGAAAGCGAAGACGAGCCGCAGGGTGTCTGAATCCCTGGACATGGTGGCAGGGTGTGGAGAGCTGCTTCAGATCCTCCAGCTCTGTGTTTCCTGTTGGTAGTCCCCAGAGCTCCCTGCCATGAGCAAGAGCTCCATGGTGGGTGCGGGAATAACTTGTTTGCTGCCATCTCTGACCAAACGTCCTCAGCTTCTCTAGGCTCTCTGCAGGTCTGTCTCAGCTTTTTGGAGCTGGTGGAGTTATGTTTTTGTCCAGGATCTGATTATTTCCACCAGAATATCCAATCCAGCGCCCAGTTAAGAACGTATGAGACCACTGGAAATCACAATTAAGCTCTTGGAGCTTGTCTCAGGGTGCTGGACTGGGATCTGCTTGGCTGCTTGACTTTTTCTGGGTGCACATTTTATGCATTTCTTTAGAAGCCTCTTTGTGCCTGTCCCTTTTCCTGAAAGCCTTCATTTCTCTGTTACAGGTAATTACATTCAGCGGCAAGTTGAGACCTGGACAAAGCAGTCATGAGCTATGGAAGCTCAGGTTATCCCAGCAATGGAGAGACTCATCGAGTGGCTGCCCCTGCATTTTCCTGACTCTCAGAGGACGACAGTTGTGCATGGTGATTTCAGGTACTGCCTGGCTGACAGCGCTGCCCTGGAGCACATCCCAGGCAGCAGAGAGGCTGAGAGGGTGTAAAGCCGTGTGCAGACTCCAGGGAGGTGCTGAGCTGGGCTGGCACAGCAGCGTCAGAGCAATCCGAAAGCTGGGCTCTGGGTCGTGTTCAGCATCCCCCAGGTAATGAGACTGAGAGGGCCACAAACCCTCAGCATCAGCCGTGAGAAACACATCCCAAGAGATTTGACGGGTGTTGTCTTGCACCCAGAGCTCTCATATTTTGCCTGCTGATCGTGGCAGTTTAAAGCAGTGCCCATTCGTGAGCAGGGAAGCCGGAGCAGGAGCTGAAAGCCTGGAGTCCTGGTGACTGATTCCAGTCTTGCTGCCTCAATCAGGGTTTCAGGGTTTCAGAGTTTCTTCGCCCAAGGACTGCAAACACTGGTTGTCCTGGTTTTGGCTAAAACAGAACCACTGTCTAACAGTGGGGGATCATCAGCTGTTTCTGCAGTACTCAGAAAGCAGTCCTGGAGCACGTTGCTAACGATATTTGGCTCTTAAAGCGTTTGGGTGGCTGTGCTGCAGGATGTATGGCAAAACCTGAACATTGCAGGTGAAGTCATGCAGGAGCGCGGGGACAGAGGTGAGGGGTGCTGAGAGCTGCTCCTGTGTTGTCAGACCCTGGCTGCTGGGGATGTGAGGCCGCAGCGCAGGCACTTCTGGGCCAAGGCTCCTTCCCACAAGGTTCAGTGCGCACGGTCCCTGGGTGACTGGAAGCCGGCGAGCTCTGTGCACCCTGGCAGGACGGCTGCCCTCTCTGTTTGCTCCTCAGCAACCTGCTGCCCTCTCCTGGGGCTCAGGCTGGTGAAGGCTGGACTACGCATGATGCACATGGCAGTGCAGGGCCTGGCGTTATTGGGTGCCTTTGAAATGACCAGGAGATCGCCCTGGACAGTGACTTGCCTGCTTCACTTTTTGGCTAGCCTGTGCTGTAACATCTGCTAATGATCTGAGAGCCTGCCTAACTCTGTTTCGTTCTTCGAAGCGCAGTTCAGTTAGTTCATCATTAACCGGGGAGTCCACTGTTGAGTGATCTCTGTCCTCCCTGACCTAGGCTTGCAGAAATTAATGTTCCACTTGTGCAGCCTCCCAAAGGACTCAGCAATTTTTTTGCAGAGTGAAAAGCACTGGAAGGCACCTACTGCTGCTGAGCACTGTGATATTTGCCCCCCTCTTGAGATTTTTCTGATCTCTTTTTCCCTCTGATACAGGATGGACAACCTGCTCTTTCATCCAGACAGGCCAGAAGTCCTTGCTGTCCTTGGTTGGAAGCTTTCAACTCTAGGAGATCCCATCTCCGATGTGGCGAATAACTGCATGGCCTCCTTCCTGCCACCTCACTTTAATGCACTGAGAGGTACAGAGAGGGGCAAAGTCACGTCTGACACATGGAGGGAGCAACCAGGGTTCAGAAACAGATTAGCTCCTGTCCAGGGAGCTCAGGTGACAGCTGGGCTCATTGCAGCTGGGAAGGGCTGTGGGTCTTGTACCATCCTCCCTGCTCTGCCCTTTCTCCGCTCCCTGAGGAACCCTCCATCCCTCCAGGGCGGAAACATCTTTCTGCAGGTGCAGTGATCACCGTGCCGTGGTCGCCCCATCCCCAGTTTGTCTCGTATCTGCCACGCTTTTGGTGAGAAGATGCCCTGGTGTCAGCTCTGCCATGCACTCCCCGTCGTGGTTGTACCATCACCCTGTTCGTGCACGTGGATCTTTGTTAGCTGTCATGTCAGGGACGGCCCCAGAAAGGACGGCCCTACTTCACAGCTTGCAAAACTGCATTTAAAAAATAGTTTGGATTATTTTCCCTCTCACTTCAGCTGTAAAGCTGAGGAACTCTTTTGGGTGGGAAAGCTGTGAACCAGGCCAGCCCAGAGGGGTGTGTCCACAAGGTTATACGCTTGTTAAAAGGAACAGTATAGGGTAAAGAGGGAGGAAAATCACTCCATTGCTCAGGAGGAAGATCCATCAGTCACTGCTTTCACAGTCTCACCCCAATGACGAGAACTGCCCTGTATGCATTCGTGGGTTGGCGCCAAACCCGCATTGCTATGGACGGAAGCACGGGTGTTGGACGGGTGCAGGTGTCTCTGCTGCTCCACAGCTGCATGGCTCTGCCACAAGCCTCACGGCATCCCTAGAAAGCTCTGAGCTCCTCACTCTCTGCTGCTTCACTGTTGCCTCTTCACCTCTTTCCAGGCCTGAGTCTCACGGCGGAGGAGTATTCCCAGATGTACTGTGGCCACGTGGGAGCGGAGAGCCCCGAGAACTGGAATTTCTGCATGGCTTTTGCCTTTTTCCGACTGGCTGCAACGCTGCAGGGACTCTACAAACGCTCTCTGGCAGGTGAGGAACCCAGCCGTGCCGGCCCTGTTCTGCACAGGTCTCCAGCCAGAGCACAGACACATGAGCATCGGTGCGGGGAGAGCTCTCGCGCTGAACGGGGGGAGGTCAGAGCGGCAGCATGCAGGCTGTGCACCCTCAGAGCTCCGAAATTCCGGGCGGTGAAGCAAAGCGTGGCATTTCTGGCAGTCTTGTGCTTTCAGCACGAGTTCCTACGGGAAACAAAGGTTCAAAATGAGAGATCTTGTTTCACCTCTGTGTTTGGAGATGAGTGACGTGGGAGTAATCATGCGGCGAGTTATTGCTGCACATAGACTAGAGGGATGCGAATGGAGTGTCCTGCACAGCACAGAGCTCGCTCCCTGCTCCAGCACAGGCTGTGGAGGGTGGGAGGCTGCTATAGCAGAATCCCAGAATGTTTGGGGTTGGAAGGGACCTCTGGGGATCCCCCAGCCCAACGCCCTGCCGAAGCAGGGTCACCCACAGCAGGCTGCACAGCACCGCGTCCAGGCGGGTCTGGAATATCTCCAGAGAAGGAGAATCCACAGCCTCTCCGTGCAACCTGTTCCAGTGCTCTGTCACCCTCAGAGTGGGTGGGTAGTCAGGATGTGTCCTGCAAACAAAGAAAAGGGCCAAAGAGGAGCACACACCGGGCATTTCCCCAGCGGCTGCTTCTTGCTGGATGCGAGGTCTGGTCCGTTCCTGTTTGTGCTGATCGGAGGTTGCTGCGTGGTCACTTTTCTTCCATGGCAGAACTGAGCAGGGGCCAGAGTGCAGAGCTTGGGGCTGTGTCCCACAGGTGGAGCTCTCAGACTTTCCAACCAGGAGCGACTCGAAACCAGGGGATGGTGTGCACTCTCAGTGCCGTTTATCTGCATACGTCAGCTCTGGCCTGGGAGTCTTTACCAGAGAAAAACAAGACGTTATTTTCGTATTCCTTAGAGAGGAGTCTCCCCGAGTCCTGCTGGGCTGGCCCTGACAAGGGCACATGGCACTGTCTGGGACGTGACTACAGAACACAGGGCTCTTTCAAACAAGGTGTCCTATTCCTCTCTTGTCCCCAGAGAGGCCAGCCCCAGGTGAAAGCAGCCCAGAGGATGCGGAGTTTGTGGCCAACCTGGCTTGGGAGTTTGCCATAAAAGAAGGATTCCGTGTGTTTGACAGCCTCCTCACCACAAAGCCTCTCGTGCGATGTTACGGCACCTGGGCCAGGCGCGGGCCGATCCTCAGCAGGAGCTACGGTGCCTGGCCACGTCCTGGGGCAGCTCCTGAGCCTCCCCGTGGTGGCTCCCCCCACCCGC